GATACGCCAAGGCAGCAAGTTTGATTCCTGGTCAGGGCACCAGAATCAATCAATGAATGCATAAATAAGTGGAGCAACAAATCGATGTCTCTCTCTTTTTCTCGTCCTCTCTCTCTCTAAAATCAATTTTTTTAAATGCAAAAATAAAATAAAATGAAAGAACAGAGAGTCTTTACACTGGGACATGCTAGACTGACTTCTCCTCTTTACATTCTATGTCTAAAAAAGATAAAGTACTTGTTGTCAATACATAATTGATACCCGGACTAAAGCATCTTTTTCTTTGTACTTATAATGGTACTGACATACATGAAAACATTACAAAAATTCCTTTAATTTCTTAGTTTTATATAATAAATTCTGCTGTTAAATAGAACAGTAAAAAAACAATTTAAACTTTACTTGGTAACATGCCCTTTGAACCGATCTGAGAGTAACAGTTAAAACAGCAGGCAGCATACAAGTGAGAGGGAAGAGATGAAACATGCCTTGATAACAACGCAAATGGAAACACTCGGAGGCTTTAGCTCTCCATGAAGTCCACATGGGGCAGAAGTACAAGAACTTAGATTTCAGCTTCCGCACTGGAGCTGCTGAGATTGACAGGGATGGAGGTAGTGCTCCCAGAACACCCTGCTCCAAACATCTGGAGCATCACAAGAAATCCTGGCAACAACAGTTTAAAAAAGGGATTCAGTCAAACTGCAAGGTAATCAAGATGATGAATTAACTAGAATTCATGTGAAGTGAATCAAAACCCTGGGGATGTTTAACCCAAAAAAGAGAAGACTTGGGGGAATGATTCTCAAAAATTTTGGTCTTAGGGCTCCCTTGACATTGTTAAAAATTATTGGGTGGTGGGCACACAATGCAATATACAGATGATGTATCATAGAATTATACACTTGAAACCTATATAATCTTATTAACCAATGCCACCCCAATAAATTTAATTAAAAATACATGAAATAAAAGTTTAAAAAGGTTTTATTTATATGAGCTATATTTGCAGATATTTGCCACATCAGAAATTAAAATAGAAATTTAAATATATACTTAGTTTAAAATAATAAAGCAATTATATATTAACAAAACATTATTATGAAAAACTGTATTTCCAAAAACTAAAAAAAATTTAATGAGAAAAGTGGCACTGATCTGCATTTTTGAAAAATCTCTAATGAAATAGCTTAATAGAAGATAAGTTAATTTCAACATCTGTTCTTGTGTTCAAATTGTTGTACTAAGTTGTCCTGGCTGAAATATATGAGGAAAACTCATCCTCACACAGACATGTAATTAGAAAAGGGAGCACTATTTTAACAGCCTTAATATTTTTATATGTTAAATGCATTGTTCTCTCTTGCACTTTGAAGTTTTACCCGTGCATGACTGTATAACATCATACGCTGGTCATATGGAAAACTGTGGTTCACAAGAGGTATGCAGATCTTCCAAATGTTAACACAGTTTATTACATAGTACCCTAAATCACGTTCAAGAATATCACTAGCAGCACCACCAGAACCATCTCTACTGGGGGTCATCAAGCTCAATCAAATCAGTGTAGAATCAAGTTCTAAAATTCTCAGTTTTACATGGAAGCTTGAAGTTTATCATGGGTAACACTTCCTTGAAATAACAGGATTATTTTCTAAACAATGTCTGCCATGTACTGAAGACTGAATAACCCTAATTTGCTGTCATCTGTCATAATTTTGCAATTAAAAGGGTTCCGTGAAAAAGTGGCCAGGCTCACTGTGCAGCAGCAGCTCATCAATACAAGCAGCTGTCCTGGGGACAACAGCGGCCCTTGGGTACAGGCAGCACAAGCAGTTCATGCACAGTACTTCTGTTTTGCCACATTGAAAATAGAAAGATGAATATGCAAGTGGAGATTTTTAAACATTAATAATTTTCACTGCTTCATCAAGAACATTAAGTGGAACTAGCTTTAATAAAGTCTTGGTATGATTATGAAAACTGTCGGACACTGCAGATCTTCTACAGGGGTCTTGGGCTCCCTGCCCAGACCACTCTGAGCACCACTGTTTCAGGGAAGGCTGGCAAGTCTCCCCTCACGGCCCAACCCTCACCCTCCAGCAGAATCAGCTTTATCTAGTTGATTACTTAATGGAGTCTCATATAAGATTTCTCTTGAATAAAAGGTTTAACCATTTTTTAAATGAAAAATAGATTCAATAATATAACTAGATAACATCTAAAATTATCCTCTAGTTTTAAATTCCTAGGATCCGAAATAAACACTAAAACTGATCCTCAACTAAGTTGACTCCTCATGCTTAAGACCTGGACTTGAACAGGCATCACCTGCATCAATGTTTAAAATCCATCACACAGATGTCCAAAGGAAGTCACAAGGCTGGCTAGTTCCCTTACCACACAATTAAGATTCTAGCCTCTATCCAATTTCAGGTACAAATATAACTAGTATTGAGTGGTTAATAAAAATGGTATCCTAAGTTAATAAATTGGTTTATAGTACAGAATAGTGACATTAAAATGCTGTTTCCACATTTCCTTTTAGAATACTCATAAGAAATTACTTCACATTTTGACATATTTTCATCATTAATAGTGATATATATTTTTGGAATAATTTTTGTTCAAAATGCAAATATAATCTATTCCAATTGCTCAATATCTCTGTAAGTACCTTCTACCCCTGGACTTGTGACAATACTTACTGACCCTCCATCAGGTAGTATGTAGGAACAAGAAGACCTGAAACCTCTATTATCATTACATTACCTATATGATTATTCAATACTTTTGGCTATGGGTTTCAGTTATCCATATTAAATATTACCTCAATAACTAGGAATAATTATAGATAAGACTTCATCTGATTTTAGCTAGAATACCATACCTACATTTGGACTACCATACACTTCAAGAAAGACATAACAAGGATGGAGAAAATTAATACAGGGAAACAAAATTCATTAAAAGTATGCAAATGATTTGTGAGATAATTACAAACACAATGCTCAAAACAGTCTGCATACCTCTCCATATACTTCGCAGCACCTTGTCTAGAGCAACAGATTGCTGTCTGACAAAATAAGCTGACGAACCAAACAGATCCAGAGACATGGAAGTAGGGAATAGACTGACACCTCGGCAGGAGAGGGGAGGGAGAGGTGGGGCGGGAAGAGATAAACCAAAGAACTGATATGCATATATGCACAACCAATGCACATAGACAACAGTGCGGTGAAGGCAGGGAGGAGGGTGGGTGTCAATGGGGGAAAAAATGAGGGACATCTGTAATAAAACAATAAATTACTATAAAAAATGAATTATCATTCTTTAAACTAGAGAGAATAGACAGACCTTACAAGCATGACTAGTCAACTACACAAAATTTAAAAATTTTATAAAGAGTAAACCCCATAAAACTGGAACAAGAAGGGGCTTAAAAGAGGTGGTCATTGGAAAAATTAAAATAGTACCCTCATTAATTAATGAATACAAGGGATGTGTAAGTGCTTCTCCTCTCATACACCTGCCTCAATTCTTTTATACCGAAAGAAACACATGATATTTGATGAACATCTGAAGAGTAAGTACACAACACTGAATTAAAAACTAGGGGACTGGTGACAAGCAGCTAGGCAGAGTGCACGGAATCTGAATGCCCTGAAACAGGAAAAAGAGCAGCAAGTTGTAGGCACAGTGTAGCTGGAGCAAAGGGTATAGAGACAGTGACACAAGATAAACCTAGAGAGGAGGATCTCCAAGGCCATGTCAGGATTGCAATGTTCAGTCTTAGGTCTGAACTAAGGAAACCAAAACATTTTTCATAAGAGGATGACAAAAACAGCATTTTAATAAGACTACTTTGGTTATCCTTTGGTTTTCAAGTTAGAATCAACCAGCCTTAAACAGAAGATATTTAAGAGACTTCCTTATCGTTTACTTATCTATTTCTTTTCCTATTTAGCTCTTTAATGGTGCAAATAGAAACTTAAATGTGATCTATTATTTAAATTATGCTCACAGACTCAAAACTGATTGATAAAAGAATATACATTAGAAAGGGATTAGTTAAGAAATACACACATATATTTGATAACGGTAAGCCAGAAAAAAATAAAAGTACGGCTACACATTTTTACTGGAAGTCTTAGCACATTTACAAAATTTATTCTATTGTACAATATAAGCATCACTAACAAGCTGCATCTAAAATAACACTACAGTCCGGCTGGTGTGGCTCAGTAATTGAGCGTTGACCCTGCACCAAGAGGTCGCCGGTTCAAATCCCAGTCAGGACACATGCCCAGGTTGTGGGCCTGATCCCCAGTGGGGGACATGCAGGAGGCAGCCAATCAATGTTCTCTCTCATTGATGTTTCTATCTCTCGCTCCCTCTCCCTTCCTCTCTCTAAAATCAATAAAGGAAGAAAAAAAAATTTTTTTAAATACATAAATAAAATAACACAAGTTGAAAAATTTGGTTAAGTCATAGTCACCAGAATTCTATCTGCTGTGATTAACAGAACATTATATATTTATTGCTAGTTGTAATCTCTCATGCGTAATGAGAAAAAGGACGTGTACACACAAAAATAACTGATTCCAGAAAAACTCAATGTACTTAATTTTAAATAGTACTGGTACCTTACAACTTAATTAAATAGGAGCATAACTGAGAAAATAAAAAAATACTACATGCATTACAAAAATAAAAATGTTCTCATTGCTACTTATAAACACCACAAAAATGGAAGACTTTAGTAATTTAATTTATTAATATTTGTATGACAATATTTGTGTATAATGCTTAACACAAACTACCTTTACTTTTCTGTGACAAATATTTCTTAAAATAAATGTCTTAAAACTTACGCACAACCCAGAAAGTCAAATTCACATCACTTTCCTAGAAGAGCCCAAAACACCCCTCTTAAAACCTACTGTGCAAGAATAATGCAAAAGGCAGAATCCTAGCAATGTATGCAAGAAAATTCTTACCAATTTTTCATCAACTGTTATGAGCTGCGTGTCTTGTGTTTGGTCCTGCGCCAGCCTCCACGTGGAAGTGCTCAAGGACCTGCAGTGCAAGATTTTAAATTAAAAAGTGATCCAATGGGAAGAGAAGCAGACAAATATCACAGACAAGCTACTTTAACAAACCTGTCTTACGAAACCAGAACAGAACGAAAGAAGAGGTCACGGAAGCCCGTGCTCTCCCGCCAGCTGTCTGCTGAGTTCCTGTCGGACTCGCACTGGACAGCTCACGCTGCTGCCCTGCGCGCCGGGGCGGGCTCCCCGTCCCGGATGGCCGCAGGCCCACGCACTGGGTGCTCCCTAGGGCTGTGCAGCTGGCCTGCTACCACCAGGAAGGAAGATGCCCTTTACCAACTCTCTGGAATGCTGATTCCCAAATGAAAGCATCAGAATGAGAAACAAAAATCTCAATCATATTCTTTATTAAATTGATTTTAGAGAGAGGAAGGAAAAGAGAGAGTCATCAATTAGTTGTTTCCCGTACACACCCCCACAACCTGGGATCAAACCAGCAACCTTTGTTTTGTTGTTGTTAATCCTCACCCGAGGATATTTTTCCATTGATTTTGAGAGAGAAGGGAAGGGAGACAGAGAGGGAGAGAGAGAGGAAAATATCGATGTGAGAGAGCCACATTTGATCACTTGCCTCCCGTACAACCCCGCACTGGGGCTGGGGAGAGAACCTGCAACCTAGGTATGTGTCCTTGACTGGGAATCAAATCTGCGACCCTTTGGTCTTCGGGCCTACACTCTAGCTGCTGAGCCAAACCAGCAACCTTTTGGTGTATGGGAGGACGCTACAACCAACTGAACTACTCCTGCCATTCTTAATGGTCTAAAGTAAAAGTTATAGAATTTAATGTTAACAGTAAACTCACTCTAATTTCAAAACAAACGTAGTTTAAATAGGAATGATTTGTATGATTATTTTAATTACTCTTATTAGTTTAGTCCTAAATCCCACTCACAGAACTGAAGAAAGTCTTAATAGTTAAAATAGAATACTAAGTCAGAAATAAAAGGATTATGCGAAACCTATGATCCTACTAACCAATGTCACCCCAATATATTTAATTAAAAAGTACTAAAAAAAAAAAAGAGCACACAGAATCTAGCTCCTTTATATTAGCATCTTCCCACACTTACCCCCAAAGAAATTATTTAATGCTAACAAGTTTTTTTTTATTTCATGTATACATACTAACTACTCTGTACTTAGTGAATGTCATAGCTATTACTGATTGTGACAATTTACATTTTAGAGTTTTCCAAAATATTAAGCAATCCTATGTAGATTTCTCTTTTAAAAGTTATGACTCAAATTTCCAAACCAACTAAATATATAGTATTTAGTTCTGCAGTATAATCACTGTCATTATTTTGATGCAACACAACCATCAATAACTGACACAAAATTTCACACCAAAGGTTCAACTTTCAATAGCTACAATGTACAGTAGTCCCCTCTTTATCCACAATTTTCCTTTACACAGGGTATCAGTTACCTGCCTTCAACCACAATCCAAAACTATTAAGTGAAAAATTCCAGAAATAAACAATTCGTAAGTTTTAAATTATACACCATTCAGAGTAGCGTGATGAAACTATCGTGGTCCAGCCTGGGACATGACTCATCCCTTTGGCCAGTATGGCCACCTTCCTGCATCTCATCCCATAGGTACTGGTGTCATCTCACAGTGTCATGAGAAGGAAGGTGAGACTCGCACAGTAAGAGACTTTGAGAGTGAGAGGCCACAGTCACATGGCTTTTATTACAGTATACTGTTATAACGACGGTTCTACTTTATTAATAGTTATTTTTGTCAATTTCTTACTTTGCCTAATTTATAAAGTAAACTTTATCATAGGTATGTATTAATAGCAAAACACAGGAGAAACTCAGAACATATCCCTTTTGGATAAGAGGGGGACTACTGTACACAGATTTATAGTAAACCTACTTATTAATAACATCACTTAAAGGTAACTCCTAATATAAAGGTATTTTTGCTTTATGGGCATATATTATTATTTTTTAAATCTGTCACTTATTTCCCAAAATTGATATAATTCATTATCACTGCAAATATGCTGCTCAGAAATACAAAATACACCAACATAAAGATTACTTTTACAAATATATGTTCTGTTTGTTACTATATTAGAAAAGTATAAATAAGCACCTTTTAAAATCCCTTTACTCTGGAAATCATTAAGAATAATAACATGACAATAAAAGCATTTTGAACACCTTTAACCATGTCCATATAGTTCAAGAAAAAAAAAATTAATAAGAAAACTCAGAATTTGAAGTATTAGAAAATATAGCTACATTTTAAGAAAATAAAGCCACATAGCTCCTCTAATGAAGAAAGTGTTAGATCAAAATAGTGCAAATTATTATCAGATCAAAATTCTATAATCCAGGCCCTGGCCAGGTAGTTCAGCTGGTTGGAGTGTCATCCTGATAAGCCAAAGTGTAGGTCTGATCCCAGGTAAGGGCACAGTGAAGAAGCAACCGATGAATGCACTGATAAGTGAAACAACACAGCAGTGTTTGTCTGTCTGTCTCTCCCCTTTCTTCTCTCTCTCTTACATCAATAAGTAAAAATTTTTAAAAACCCAAAAACTATATAATCCAAGAACTGCACACTAAATTTAAGTAATTTTCTCTTAAAGTATATAATACAATTTTACTGTACATTAGTCACAGCGCAAAGTAAATTTTTCTAAGTATATGTACTTTAGGTTTTTTCTTTATAATTTTAGATTAATCTCCAACTAATCATAAAATAAAGCCAGTATATAATTTTCTATAAACAGACACCTATTATAAAGAAATACACAGATAAAACATTCTCATATTTTTATCAGACTATGTTTAAAAGGTAACACAATAAAAGATGAAAGATGTTAACTCATCCTAGCAGAAAGAATTAAAAATCACAATTAAAATTTTTTATAGGAAAAAACTTGTAAGATAGCCTAGACTGCAAAGAGATCATAAACAGAATTTTTATTATTTGAAACAATATATTCATATAATTTCAGGAAAAAAACTGCCTAAGTAAAAAAGCACACATAATATATGTGTGTGTATATGTATTTATGTGTGGCAAAGGGGTGGGGTCATTTAAGTAACTGCCCCTAAACACAGAGACAGTGATTATTATTATTATTTTCTTTATTGAGTTTAGAGAGAGAGGAAGGGAGCGGGAGAGAGAGATAGAAACATCAATGAAAGAGAACATCGATTGGCTGCCTGCATGCCCCCCAGTGGGGATCAGGCTCACAACCTGGACATGTGCCCTGACTGGGAATCGAACTGGTGACCTCTTGGTGCAGGGGTCGACACTCTACCACTGAGCCACACCAGCTGGGCGAGACAGCAATTATTTTTTTACAAATCGAATCTCAGATGTGAAAAAATGTTTTCCTTCAATTGTAGGAGCAAGGATCCAGAGTTCATTACAAACATAGTATTTAATTTGTTATACCTACAAAATATAATCTACAGTTACATTTACATTAAATATGAATTATATAGCAAATATTTACTTGCTGATTAGCCTGTAAAAAGTCTTATCAATGACATGGTAGGAGTAAAGGCAGTATTTTTTTTTTTTAAATAATATTACAGTATAAAAAAACTATTAAACAAGATACAAAACTCAGCAAATATAAAAAGAAATTACAGAAGCCACTACATAAAAATTTCTAAACCAAAGATACTGTAAATGGAGAATAAGACATAACAAGAAGAACATATTTTCAAAATAAGAAAGTAAAGGCTCAATATCCAAAATAAGTAAAAGAGCTTCTACAAGTCAGTAAATAGGGATAATCCTTAAGTTTCAAAAGAGGGAGTCAAACAACAGAAAAACAAATCACCCAATTAAAAATGGGAAGAATACTTGAATTTACATTTATCCAGAGATCTACAAATAGCCAATAAGCACAGGAAGACATGATCAACTTTACTAAGCGCTAGAGAAATGCAAGTCAAAACCACAATGAGATACTACTTCATACATATTAGGATGCTTATCTAAAAAAAAAAAAAAGAAGTTTTGGTGGAATATGGAAAAATTGAAATCTTTTTACATTACTGGTGGATATATAAAATCATGCAGTTGCCATGAAAAACAGTATGACATTTCTTAAAAATATTAAAACAGATTTACCCCATGATCCAGCAATTCCACTTCTGGATATGTACCCAAAAGAACTGAAAGCAGAACTCAAACAGGTATTTGTACACCAATTTCATTGTAGCATTATTCACAATAACCAAAAGCAAACATTGCCAAGATAATAGTAATCATATATTAATGGGCAATATATAACACTAGCAAGTTAAGTGTACGTATAGGGATGACTAATTTGCAACCATTAGTAAACAAATGGTCATTTTACTTTGCTATTTAGTATCCATCTTTGAGAAACAAATTTTATTTGCCTCATGAGTTTGCTTTTCTGTCTACTCATTTGTTCACATTGCCAGGTCTCTTAAGTGTCAACATTAATTCTAAGCCCATAGGATAAACTTTAAGGGCTGTGATTATTATCTATTATCATTATTACAGTGTACCGCCATTTATTAGATTTACTTTTTCTGTAAAGTTTCCTGTAAGAAAATGAGTGGATATCATCTTATTTCTAACTCTGTTTTACTACTAACTGGTTGTGTCTATGAGCAAATCACTTAACCTCTCTGTATCTCAATTTCACTCTTTGTAAATTTGTAAAATGAGAACTTGTTGCTCTCAAGTTTCATCTAGTGCTGAGTTTGTGATTCTGATAAGTTTCATCTAGTGCTGAGTTTGTGATTTTAATAAGTGGAATTGAGTATTGTTCTAGTTTAATAATCTCCTATGGAAATGCTACATAATAATTTCTCAACTCATAATCTGCTTTCCTTTAAAAATCTAAGGAGTTAAAACTTTCAAACACATACATACCACATTTATTTATCCATTCATCTGTTGATGACATTTGGGTTGTTTCTGCTAAAGACACTCGTGTGCAGGTTTTTGTGAGGAC